TAGATTTGTGAATCTTTTATTATTGTTTTCCTTTATTTTATCATAATTCTTACCATGCTTTTGTAATTTTCAATTGGTATGTCAAAGAAATTTTTTATTTATAGTTATATAATAAATAAAACTCAATTTTACATTAAATTTATTATCCACATGCATGCTAATTTTTTTCAGTAGATCGCCGTTATACATGCGGGCGTAGAAAATTGTCGACATGAAGATGGGCTAATCGCAACGCTTAATTCCGATCAACTTAAATTGCTTAATTTATTTGAATACTTTCATCTCGCTGCGGTGGGCATACTTACATAACTATGCCCCGCGCATAGTTCATAAACATTATGCAGCTTTTGTTCTCACCAAATTCCGTGTACGCTGGATTAATTGCAGTTAATTAATCTCGTTCCATAAATTATTTGCAACTTTTCAACTGATCTCGAAGGAAATATGATTGTAGTCTCGAGAGGCTGATTCATGAAATAGTGGCTAGAAAATTATTATTCACGGAGTAGATCTTTCACTGTTTTTTTAACAGTTTTGACGTTGCGTGAAAATAGCTTTGTATTCAATTTTTCAATGAATTTATTTAAAAATTTGCTTTTTTGTATATATGATACAATTTCATTCTTATATATATATATATCATCATTTATATATACACACATATTTTTTTTTTCTCTCATAAACATACATGTGTGATGTGTGCATATGTATAAGAGCTTCCTGTTTTATGATTTTATAGAATTATATTTATATTTGAGAAGTAAACTGATTTTTTTATTCTAGCAGTATTTAATTTCAATATACGAAACTTATATAGTTATATGATATTTATCTGAATTAATTCTTTGTTTAATATATTTGATCGGTTTTTGTTTCTCTCTTTCTCGCCGAAATTATGAACCGTATTAATTTACTAACTGCAGGAAGGTCAGAAACGGCTAAGCCAGGGTCGTATCGAAAATGCAATTTGCCACGACTAGACGTCAATTAGCTTTTCTCGCAGGAAATCTCGTTAACAATCCGCTGCGCCGTGTGGTCCAGTATGATTAATGCGGTCGACTCGTTAAGCAGGCTTGATGGCCGTATTCGTGCAGGGTGTATTCGTTACTCTAAGTCCTTTTACTCCTCCGCTTTGCGTAGAATATACAGGATATATACAGTTAAACAGATATACGTCTAAACGTATACGATCCGCTTTGCAAATGCCTGATTTTATTTTTATTAAGGCGGATGCTTTGTTGAATTCGCAATTTATTTTTTTCTGGAAAAAAATATCAAGATAAATTATCGTTTATGGCAAATTTGCCATTTTGAACATTATACTTGTTTTTGTATATAATTAAGTTGTAAATTAAAATTTTATTAAAACAGAAGTGCTCAATGTCACAAATGCGCCAAAAGCTCGCGAAAGAAAGGAACCTACAATAGATTTAGGGCAAGATTTTAAGACTTCATGAAAAACTTTACATGAAAATTAATATACTATACTAAAATATTATTAGCGATATCTGAATTTAGAACGTGTATATGTACTCCTATAATAAATATTTTTTGATATAATTAAGAAAAAAATCAATCTCAAACGCATGCAATATCAAGCAAAAATTTGTACGAACTGAATGATATCGGAATAAATGTAATTTATTTTATTTCGAACTAATACTTTTTGTGTTTTAAGAATGTACAAAATGGCATTTTTCAATATCGTGCGTACTTTTCGAGTCAAAGTTTAATATAATCGTACAAATTCTGGCAACACCGAGCATATGCTGCCTATTCGTATATTTAATGCACGATGGAGTTAACCCATATCGTTACCCTTCGTTTCGCGTCATCGCTAAAATTACTATTCCGTATCCTTCGATGTGGCCATTTGCCAACTCTGTGGAATCCCAGCCTGGCCGCAATAATAGAGCGCACCGACGCGATTGACCCCGTGACCCGACACGTGCATCCGCACTGCTTCACTAAATTTCTTGCGAAAATTTCGAATCGTTGGAACGGAAAAAATCGGAGATGAGTCCCCGAGAGCTAAAGATAATATAACAACTCATTACCTATGAAGAAGAAGCTACTAATGATCGATGGATTATACAGTCCGTCGTATTTTTCAAAGAAATAGAAACAATAATACAGCGGCATTTAGCTATAAACGCTAACGAGTGATTTCCTCGCGGAGATAGAAATTATACTGCTACTATTTATAAAGTATTTTTAAAAATACGAGTGGAAGTTCAAATATTTATTATCGACTGGTCACGTATAAGCATGTACCGTGAACTCTCGGCGGAAGTTTGCATCGAGTGAATGAATTAAAGAAAAAAAAAGAGAGAGAGAGAGAGAGAGAGACAAGGATCAAGATCTCCGTGATTGTCTTCAATAAGCATGTACCGTGAACTCTCGGCGGAAGTTTGCAGAGAGAAAAAAATAAAAAAAAAAAAAAAGAGAGAGAGAGAGAGAGAGAGAGAGAGAGAGACAAGGATCAAGATCTCCGTGATTGTCTTCATCGAATTTGCGAATGCTCGTTGCGCGAAGATGAATTCATTCACGAGTTAGACTTGCCGCTCTCGCGAAAGTTAAGAATGTTCCATCTTCGCCAGAAATATTGGTCCAGATGTGAATATTTTACCGATCTCCATGAAATTATGGAATATCATAGGACTAGTTTAAAATTTTTAGCAACTGCACCAGTTCAAATATAAACTTAGAATTAATAAACAAGATTGTGTGAGCTTATTCGTCGAATATAAATTATTGAATTATTTTGCACAGTTAAAAAGCAGTAGTCAAGAGTTTTAATGCTACACTTTTTAATGAAATAAAGTATAAGTATGATAAAATGGTGATGAATAAGTCTTATAGAGACTTATAATGTACCAGACAGATATCAGCTTTGGATAAAATATTCAATTATTTAATATTTTTAATTAAATCGTCACGCGTATATTTTATCCATATTGTATTAGACATATTCATATTAAAAAATAATATTTTATATAAAAATTTTATATTTTAATCTATATTATATTATATTATATATTATAATTTATAAATTCCATATTTTCCATATTTTAAAGAAAATTGTGTTTATTGTTGCAAGAAATTCTTAATACAAAGAATATAATTTGATCAGAGAATCTATTATAAAAATAAAATCATGGTAATCTGAATATCAAAAGCTTTTATACATATGAATTTTGCATTCTGCAAAACTAGCTTGCATTGATTTTAGCAAATGCTTCTATTTGATTACGAACATTCGAATCGAGATGGATCAACGTTAAAAGAACTTTGAAAACAGGATCAATGTCTGCTTATTCATAGTATAAAGAGCATTCATAAAAGTCGATTGTGGTCGGTTTCTGAGAATAAAAGATCTCGTTTGCGAGACTTAAAACACGACGATGCATAATGTGAAGTAAGTTAAGACATTAAAGATGTGCACTGTCAAGGTAAATGAGTCATAAAAAAAGATGTTCACCGCGGCGACGATGCGTTCTGCGTTCGTTTATTACTCGTCGTTCCGACGAGAAAGGCGCGTAAGCTCGCGAAATAGAGATAAATGTAAATTGAGGAAACGCGGAACCTATTCTTCAAGTTAAAGTACACTATTTTTTACTTTCTCTTTAATTCTCGCTGCGTAATATTGCGATGAATATTGCGAATAAATATTATGAAACATATATATATTAAATACATTATTTATATTTATTTCAGAAAAATAATATGCTAGTATGTGTCAAAAATATAAATTTTACAAATTATTTAGAGAAGTATTTATTTAAAAAAAATAGATACATAAAAATATTCAAAGTCTTATATAAATCTTAACTAGATCTCTTAATATACAATATAATATGACAATTTTTTTATGTCTTGAATTGCTCTGCATGAATAATTAAAAGAAAAGGAATAAATTGTTTATTTCTTATATCATATATTGCTTTAAAATTACTCGTATGCAATCCATCGGTATCATCTTCCCCGAAAAAAATTCTAACTATACTTTGCTTCAGTATTTGAGGATTAAACTTAAGGAGATCTAACAACAAGATATATATTGCACTTTGTATTGATATATATTGCACTTTGTATTGATGGACGTCAAGTAAGAGAAAGGCATCACATACACATTGGAAGTTAAATGTCAAATTTGCTCCAAAAACGATGAGAATATGCAGGATATATTAGTTTCTTAGATGCATTGCTGTCTTGAATATTTAAGTGGCATCAATCGAAATGCTTGAAATGCTGCAGCAAATATCGCAGGAGGTATTGTAGAAAATAAAAGATTTTGCCTGTATATGTATTTTCATCTCTCTTTCTCGCACACCAAGTCTTTCTCGGATTCAAGAAGTTATACTATTGTAGGTAGCATATCCATATAAGAAATCTGCTGAATAATACGATGCGAAAATTGCAGCACGCAATAATAGGGGGAGTTTGCAGTCATACACGAGATGTCCTTTCAAAAATACTTTTTAATTTAGTTATTTTATAGATGACAAAATATTTTATTGTTATACAATATATCATAACACTTTTAATTTCATAATGGACTGTGTAAGGCTACTGTATTTCTTTTTACTTATTTTTCGCGATTTTAATTGTATTACATACTAATTTAATTACACTTGTAGAATATTAGTCTACTAAAATTATATTTGATTATGCTTAATATGCTTAATTAATTATAATTTGATTATAAAGAGTGAGAAAATTCTTCTTCCGTATAATACCATTTTTTTAGATTATCTTGCAAATATGGAAATACCATGTTTAGTGCTTATTTTTATTATCTTCTTTATATAGTGCTCTCGCACAGTATTGTAATTGATAATTTAAATAATTTTATTGTTTATCAATAACAAAGTAAAATATTCAGTAAAATAAAAATAAAATAAACAATATTTTATATTATTATTTGAATGTTTGTTTAATAACTCGATAATTCAAATTAAATAATTTTCTATAACGTTATGATGTGATGTTTGTTACAGACCTTACGCAATATTATGAATATAACAGACGCTTGCGAGACTCGTGATCCGTGTCAGCATGGTGGCATTTGCATCTCTACGGACAGCGGACCGATCTGCGAATGTCGCACCGGCGATTACGAGGGCGCATACTGCGAAAAAGGTTAGTAAATTGATCCTTAATACCACATAATCTATATTTTCTTAAAAATTAATTATAATTAAATGATATTATCTTTTGCTGAAACAATTTAAGTTTGATTAACATTATTTTTACTATTAGTTTTTTAAATACTATATTAGTATTAATATAATATGTTGTCATACGATAATAATAAGCATTAACGTATGTTTAGAGATTATTAATTTAATAATGTTACTATTGGACGATATGTTAGGTTAATATGGATTAAATTATTATTTATACGCGTTTCCTCGAAATTATATTTGAAATTATAATTATATTTGTAATATTATTAAGGGGAACAAATCAAAATTTATATAAAAATAAATCTTTAAAAATAACATGGAAGAATAAACTATTATCATGCCATTGTTACACATGGCATACAATAAAACGAAGTGAAAGATCAACGAAAATGCGGAATATAAATTATCTCTATGGATTTATTTGTGTGCATTGAACAAAATTTAATCGAATCCGCAAATAATATTCATTGTTTTCATTACTGTTTTTTTGAAGCGCAATACATATATACACCCGTGATCTTGAAGATATATATAAAACATAATTAATAAATTATGATAAATCAAAGTAGTCAGCATTTGCAGATATAAAAAAATAAAAAATGTTTAAGATACTTTTTATATATTACCACTTTACAATATTTAATGTAGAAGTTATCTAAACATTTATATATATAATTAAATCTGTTAATTTTAAAACATTAAATGATTTGATTTATTAAAAGCGCTCCACTTCTATTAAAATTGTATCGTATTCAATTTTAGTTTTGACATTTGCATCCATCTAAATCAGTTTTACTATTATGATTTTATTTTTAGTATGATCTATATTTCACCGTTTTATTAATATACAATCTATCCGCGACATTCAAGTTATATTTTTTGATTTAGTTGCCGATAATTTATTGCAGATCGCGTTTCATGAAATGCAATATCAATCATTCGCACGAGGTTCATGCAAACGGCAAATCTTTCCTTCAAATATTCATTATCTTTTTACATTTTGCATTCCCTGTCACGTAGGAAACAGTTCATGTCACACGGTTGTCTCGGTCAACGCCGCTTTCATTCTTTCTCGTGCTCTGCCCAATTAATCGTCGTCATTGACAATAAAATACCTGAATAACTACATAGCGCATATTTCTCATTGTTAACTTTTACGCGTATCAGCGAGAAAACGCGCGTTGCCTAATGAGGCGTAATTGCCGACAGCTGCAGAAACGAGAGATGGCGTCCCGAAATGATTTTTCCCTCTTTTAAGCCACCGGCAATTAGAGAAGCCGGGCATGTCGAGGTCGTTTCCAAGACGTTTCACCGATAATTACAATCAGACTTGTTCTTCGTTAATGAGGTGCGCTCGCTAAGGAGTCGTTAACGGAGGCGATTCGGCAGTTGCGAACGGGATTGGCGAAATATGCGAGAGTTGTTCGTTATATTTGCGTCTGTCATTCGAAATGTTTGAGAGAGAACTCGATCGTCGTGAGATAAGAGTTGAAGTTATAACCAGTAATTTATAAAAAAATGTTTAAGAGCTTATTACAGAGAGAAGCATATTAAGATCCTGACATTTTATTAACAAAAATAGAAAGAATTTTATTATACGTTATTGTAAAAAGTTAAATCAAAATTTAAATAATTATATATATATATAGTGATTTGCAAAAACGTGCATTGTCGAGATATAGATCTTTTCTTACAGAAAATTCAGAAGACTGTGCGCTCGACAGATTTAATAGCGGAGAACGAGATTACGTTTCTCTCACGGATAAGCAACATACCGGATTTACCTTAATTGCAATTTATTCTCTAAGATAAAATTCTGCGTTTTCTCGAGCTTTTGCCTTGTCCACAAAAAGGAGTATTCTCGACCGTATACATTAATGATAATTTTACTATCTTCTCGAGGATTTCCTACTACTTCGCATATGTTTCAAAATATATTTATGATATATGTTGCTCTGTAAATTAATTTTAATGGTAAAATCTCTCTTTTGTATAGAGTTTTATGTAAATCTCTCTCCTTTATCTTTGACAACTAAATACGGAAAATTGCCGCTTACATTTCAATTGATTAATGGTTTATGTATTATAACTTTTTCACGTTGAAAGAAAATCGTAGAAAACGCGCATAAAACATTGTGTAAATAGTATTTAAAATATTTCTCGTAGCACTCGATACAATAAACGAATGTACTAAATGAAATGAATGTTTTGCAATTCTCGATGTTAAGAGTCGAGAGTTTCATAGTAGAAAAGGGATGTCTTCATGCCCCGAATAAACAATTTTCCTTTATCGAAGATTGCAACATGGAATGTTTATTCAAAGGCTTACTTCGCTGATAATTGCGAGTCTTTGCGAACTCACGGCCGAGTCTTTTGTCGCTACTGAGACATCGTCCAGAAGAACGCGTAACTTCACAGAGGACTCTTCGCAAAAGGAACCAGGACAATTTCATTTTAATTCCTCTCTCAAGCTTTTTGCAAGGCGCGATTGTCCTCGTCCTGCCTGACAGACACAGCCGTTATACGCGATATAATGTAATTTCCAGCCTTAATGACCATGTTGAAACGAATGGAGGAAAAAGGAAGAAGAAAATGGGATGGTGAAGAGAAAGAATGAGAGTGTTACAGGCGCGCAAGATAAAATAGCGAAGCCAGAAATGAAGACTGAAACACAAAGAAAAAGGGACTTTACAATTTATTAGGGTCAAAATAATCAGTCTATCAAGATTTCTTAACAAATGTCGCGAAAAACTGATGTTGCTATTTCGTGAAAAAGAAAGAATAATGTACAAATTATAAGAAGACGAAAAAAAGAAGAAACAGACAAATCGATAAACTAATATGTTGCATATATTATATAGAAGCTTTATTTAAAAGATAAATGCAAGTTTTAAGCAAGATATTCAATGAACAATAGCAATCAATTATTTAGCAGATATTATCAAGATCTCGAGAAAATAGAACAATTAGCTTCGAATTCTCAAAATTAAATTAAAGAAACATTTTTTCTTTGCATAAAATAAACGAAACTTACATTATTAATGGTGTTAAAAATAGGAAATTATATAATGAATGCAATCATGAAAATGTAAGAGTTGACATCGCTGAAAGTAAAGTGTAATATATAAAATACTGATCAGTATTTGAAATTTTATTTTTTAACTATTTTTAAATTTTTTTCATAGAAGAAAGATTAAAAGATATAAATATAAATAAACAAAGTGGAGAACATAATATAAAACAGATTAGGATAAACCTCTCATTTCGCATTATCTGTCTCAAACTGGATAATCAAGAGTTTATGCCCGCGGCGAATCGTTATCTGGGCAAAGTGATCCAACTTTGCACGGCATTCCGCGCAGAGAAACTTGGTTGGTTAACACCTGATATTCGGGTGCTCGGTTTGCGGGAGAGCAATTTTAATTTAACAACAATCGCTCTCGAATGTTTCTAAAGTATTTAAATTACTGAGAAAGCTTTTAGAAAAAGCGCGCGCATTTCATTTCTTTTTTCTAGACACACAATGTATAAGGATCTTTGATACGAGCGATCGACGCATGGTTCAGTTCTTTACTCTTTCTTCCTTTTTTTCTTTCTGTTCTCGCATATAGAGGCATGGAGCACGGTGCTGCCTACGGCGGGTGCTGGCGATTACTGGGCTTGGGATTACAGTGAGTCTCGCTAATTACAAATCCAAAGCACATCCGCGATAATGGTATGCGGCAATGGTAGAGATATCAGTACGAGTAACCAGTAGATCGTAGCTTTAGCTAGGTGGTATATATAGGTGTGTGTACCTATATTTAGACCCTTTAGGCACAGCCGAATAGATTCTTTATTAATGCGAAAATGAATACAACGGCTCAGGTAGCACAACGTATAATTTACTGATATGAGAAACAGATGATAATGCTAATAATATTATTTACAGGAACTTTAATGTATTAAATTTTATATAATTTTTTACACATAAATATAGTCAAATTATAAAATATTTCTTGGAAAAAGTTAAATTATATTTTTATATCATACACTGCTTCTATTTTTTATATATAAACAAACTTATATATCAA